GTGGGTAGTTTAAAACGATTGCTATACATTATATCGCTCTACTTTATCTAATGTCGCAGCAGTAGGTCAAATGCATTTTAAATGCGTCTAATCTGTGTCGACACCGCGAACGGATGAATCATGTTTTGATATTGAAATTAAACAGAACTAAATTCTGACCGAAATTAAACATGTTTCCAACATTAAATGTGATTTTTCAAACGGTTTTGTTAATTATAGGAACATACATATTTTATCATGCTGTTTCGATATTCATCAATTATCGACAAAACAAGAAAATATTTAATGGAGCTAAGGGTCCAGAAAAATATCACTGGTTGTTTGGCAGTTTCTTTTATGTAAGTATTTTATTTTTCATTATGTCCAAACGGGAAAAATTTAACAAATATATTGTTAAAGTGTCAAGACGATGTACCGTACAAAATATAAAATCAATCCGTTATATTACCAACCGTTTTATTTAAAATGACCTTAGTCGTGATATTTACAGATAAGATTTTAGGGGTTATAATATATCACACATTTTACCTGACGAAATTGTTTATATGTTTTCATTAAATGCACCATTCGGGGTTAAGAAAATTTTGTAAATGGTTGATCTCAAATGCTTGCTCTCTCCTAAATTGACGTACTATAAACCGTGAACTATGAACCGAGTCTGCAACATTGTCAATTTTGCCGTGTTGGGCTTTTTTAGGGATTCTGTTGTTCACTATTTTGTTAGTTTAGCTAGCTATTTTACGGGGTATAAGAACCATTTGTCGCTATCACGTTATCACGAAAAATCACAATAATTTTTTTTTAATAACTACGATATTAAAATTTTGATGGTACACAATTATAAAGAAATATTTTCCTCTCATTGTTTTAAAGTAAGCAACATTTTAAAATTCAAGGATAGAAACCCGAAAACGAGTTCGGTGGTTGTATTTTAAAACGACTTTGTTGTCATATTCTAAAAGCATACAAAGTTTAAATGAATTCTACTATACAGTTTTCATTCTGCCTTTACATATTTATGTCACTTACTAATACGCCTTTAATTATATGCTTTCATAGTCTATGTGCCTAAAAATCACAACCATTTTGTATGGAAGTAAAATATTGTTGTTTTTTTTCTGAAGTTATTGACAATAAATTATTTTAGATTAATTTATAGGTTTAAACTATTTCTAAAAAAGAGAGTTTAAATGGAGAATGGCTAAAAACTGTCTTTTATGTGCGTTTAGATGAGTTGCGTTTAGATTTGTATATATTTTCACACAATGGACAGTTTGTGGAGTTTCTGTTACTTAAAACATGTTCTACATGTATTATATATTCTATATTATACCTAATTTGCATACGCCATTCTTGTTATTTAATATGACGTCATCCGGTCCATAAATCGCATACAAACCGGCTACCCAGTCTATAATTCTTATATCGATTGGATGATGTCAAATTAAATATAGAAGGGCGTATGCAAATGAGGTATACTATTTTATTTTACTGTTAAATGATTCTTTTACTGAATTTATCGTTATGTTTCACATAAATTTATTACATGTTGCGTTTCTGGTCATATACCATCCTCAGACTGACCAACCAATCCGTAAACTTGCATATTGCCCGAAAGGCCATTTTTTATTTGTTAAATATTGTATTTTAAAACGACTTTGTTGTCATATTCTAAAAGCATACAAAGTTTAAATGAATTCTACTATACAGTTTTCATTCTGCCTTTACATATTTATGACATAAATATGTAAAAACAATCCATGTAAACCATACAAATGGTAAGCAATATAGTTCCGTTGTGAACGCTCTAAAGTACTTTGTATTTGTTCTATTCAATTGTCAAATAATTTGACACTTGTACTTTGAAGGTAAAAAGAAAATAGGTAAGAATAATGATATAATTTTTATCTTCTGTTTAGCGATATCACTGAAATACCTAGATGCATAAGGTTAAATGGTCATTTTTGGAATGAAAAAATATTTGAAGCATAATTTTAGATGGACAGTAGAATTATTTTATTCACATGTTACTTTTTTAATGCATATCAGTTAACAATACATGTAATGATATGAATTTATTATGCTTAGAGTGTAAATACATGTATTGTGAATCAATCCGGCTTCAAGATAACGTTGCCTCTCGCGTCACATATTGGTATTTTAATCCTTTTTATAAACGGGAACCCGTGTCACACATTTTGAAAGCAATTTTTAAATTCTTTCATATTTTGTTGAGTTATTTTTTAAAAATGACAAAACCGTTATACTTTTTACTAACATATTGGTTAACTCCGATATTATTGTACAAAATGGACACATACGAGTATGTGACATGATTTTAGCTTGATTTTGGTAATATTTTATTTTATTAATTTATTAATTTTGGTTCAAGTGCATAGACTTGGAAGGAAATTATATTGAAAAAGAAGAGGTAGCCTCAACCCAACTATGTTTGGCTGGTTATTTATTGAATCGCCGTCGTAGAAATACCTGTATTGACTATTCACCTAATAAGTGAATTTTATTTAGATTATATTAGAAAAGAATTTCAATACACATATTGTTTTTTACATAATAACGAATAATTTTCTTATTCAATTTGTTATTATAATTTTGAACATTCTGATTTACAAACACTATGCCATAAAACTCCTTTATTAAAACACGTGTGGCTGAACCTTAAGAGCGGGGATTGCGTCAAAATTGAAAATGTTGCAGGCTTGGTTTTATTGAGCCTGTTCGCGGACGTTTCTTGAAAATGTAAGTTACCGTCAACCCGGCTTAAGCAAAATTCAACATTTAAACACGAAAATGATGAAATTTTGAATTTAGAAACATTCGCAGATATGTTCATACGGTTGTTATCACGGAACCTTCAATGTGACACATTAGTGCCATTCCATGAAAAGCGGCGTATGGTCCCCAAGTAAAAGAATGCATGTGCTCTAAACAAGAAAACAATGGGCGGAACTAAATAAAATTTATGTTTTTGAAAGGGATCTGTGGTTTTGAAGCCTGCATATCACAGACAAGATGTCAAAAGACTATTTAAGAAGCAGGCAACATATCTGAAGGTTGATTATACAGTATTCTAGTAGGAATACTGGAACTAGTCAAGTTAAAAAATGCCGAAATCATTATCCCTCATGTACAGACTCAATCTTTTAAGTAATTTTGCTGTTGTTGAAGGATTTAACTACACAGATATAATTGTCCCTCAAAACGCACCTTTGCATAGCTTCGATAATAGATAAACCTCTGTTGTATAGCGGCTTATAACAAAGCTATTAGTCACTGGTAATATATAGAATAATAATTATGACAAAAATAATACTTTATAATAATAGTAAAAATAATGATGATAATTATGATAATGAATAATAAATACAATTGTCATCATTACATGTATTATGATATTGATAATTATGATGATAATGAAAAGAGTACGAGGAAGAAGAAAAAATGATATGAAGAAGAAAAAGAAAAATATTGTATATATAGTGAGATCATAAGTAGAATCACGAAAATCTAGTTTGTTGTCGCTCAATATTTTCTTATTATTGTTTTTCGTAGTTTCCGACAGATTTGCACGAGCTAACAAAGTATTTGATGGAAATGGGTAATAAATATGGAAGTGAACAAGGCTATGTTGTACTCTGGGGAGTGCTGGGAAAACCAGTTTTGTTTCCAACCTCTCCGCGTGTTACTGCAAAACTGTTAAAAGGCAATGGTCAGTATTTTTTTTTATAAAATTTATGTTTGCTGGAATAGCTAGAATAGATGCATATTTCAGTGATTAACAGAAAAGAAAAAAACAAAGAGTTAATGTTATTATTTTTTAACTTAAATATTATCATTTTAATCGGTAACGAGCCATTTTTCTGTGATATTTAATGATGGTAATGTAAAATGGTTCGGAACCTCATTTTTCCCTTAATTTCTAAGATTAAAAATCTTTTTTAGGCCAATATGCAGTTTTTGATAACAAAAATTTAGTGTAAAGATGGTTCAAAAAAAGTAATTTTAAAAAAAGGCGATTTTTTTTTTTATTGTTTTGCTTAAAAAAATTTAAAAAACCCAAAAAACCAAAGTTAATATTAGCATTTTTATGATTTATTTTTCAAAAAAGACCTGGGGGAAAATGGGGTCAAAAATTTTTTTAGGGGAAAGGAAAAATTTCTTTTTGAAAAACCCGAAAAGAATTTTTAGTTTACTTTGAAATTCTGAAGGTACAAATTTTTTAAAATAACCGTCTGCGAGTTTTGTTTTTTCCACATATAAATAGAAAAATTAAAAATAACTTTGCCCTTACTCAATTTTTGACTTTGTTGTCTAATTTTATTTTTAAAGCAAAATTCTCCTTTTTAGTTGGAACAGTCACACATATGTTGTTAAAATTTAAAACTTTTTTTTTAGCAATGTGCCTCATTTTCATAACTGTGAAATTGCCCAAGAATTTCATTTAGTTTAAATACTGTATATTATTTAATTATGCAAAAAATATCTGAAATAATTAATTTTATTAAATATTTCTAGTACTATGTTTAGATATTGTTAATATTCTTCTTCTCGCAGAAAAAACTTGCAGCTAAAGCAAAAACCAGTGAAAGATTTGAAGTGTTCCAGTACGTCAGTATGTATACATTGGAGGTTTATATTGAAAATGTGCTTTCTCATACAGCGAAGACGTTCAAACAGCGGGGTAATGATTTGATTCTTGCTGAATTAGATTTGGGATAACATTTTGTTTAAAATTTAAAATACATAAAAAAAGCAAAGGCCTTTGTAAAAAACAAACTTAACTGTTAACAATGCCAGGAGGACGATTTAAATTATAGACCGATTAATCACGGAAGTCATGCGGTCTTTACGGTCAAAAAGTCATGATATTTTTTCCTTTAAAAATTAAATTTATATTACATGCTGAATCTCAAGTAACTGTTGAAAATTTAAATTTCAGTGATTCTAACGAATATGCGAATACAAGTGAGTAGGAATAACCGACGCTCTTACATACAGGTTCCTGTGAGTTATATTTTCTTGTTATTTTTTTTTCTTGTGTCTGTCTGTCGTTTTGACAAATTATGTTATTTTTGCAATATTCAGTATTGCTCGCACTCCTTAAACATATTTCCTTGTAAATATCGGTAATCTAAATATTTTGTGAAAATTTGGTGAAATTTATAACAACGTTTCTAACGTGAAATTCTATGAGATAAGCAAAAAGTTGATATTATATATATATACATGGCTCCTAAGCATATATGTTTTTAATTTTTTTTATTTGTTAGAAAATTATTAATAAAGATTTAATAACTGTCTATATTTGGTTAATTGCAATATGACCCGTGCCTAACAGGCTTACAACATATCAAATAGCATGGCAAATATCTTTGTTACTAACACTCTTTGCAAGAACGCTTTTCAAAATGGCATTATTCGTAAAATTAAGCTTTTTACAGTCTTTGTTTATACAATATTTTTATTGATTTTACAAATTCCTAGCAATCCATTGATGCACTTTGATGTCATCTGGAATCTGAGTTCAACCGGACGACAATTTAAAAAAGATTGTGATTTTGTTCATGCAGTAGCTGAGGAAGTAATTGACAAAAGGAGAGATGCTTTGGTAATTTTAATTAAATGACTGGTAACTCCTGTTTAACTAAAGATAAATGTAGCTTTTAAATTTCAAAAAATATAATTTTATGAATAAAAAAAAATAAATATAAAAAATCTCGAAACAAAGTGATCCCTCGGAAGCATTAATCGCACCAAAATCACAAGAGAATTACAGACCCAGTTTGATTGAGTCTGTACATGATAGATGATGAATACCTGCAACACCCCCAAGCCATACTTTTGAGAACACTTTACAATCTCTCCTTTAAATAAAGCTATGAAGGAACTGCACATGCATCCATGTGGCACACAAAAGTTTTTTAAGTCTTTGTCTAATATCAGAATAAACAAGACAGTACCAAGAGTAGCAGTTACACCGACTTCCTTGATATTCTTTTGAAAGCACGTGATGAAGTCGGGCAGGGTCTTACAAAACTAGAGATACGGAATGAAGTGGATACTTTCTTGTTCGAAGGTGACCTTTATAAGGAAAAGATGATTGTTTTTTTTATGTTACAAAATAAAAACATCATATTTTTCTGATATTAGATTTGAATCAAGATAACTATAAAATGATTATAAGTTATCAAGGCCTAGCTTTATTTAATTGACTTAAAGTTTTGCTGCTAATAGACACATATAAACCACAAATTACTTGATATTGTGGTCCATACATTCTTGTTATATGTTTCCGTTAAATATACATTTATATAAATTATGATAACTTATGATAAATTGTTTTTTTAGGTCACGACACAACAGCCAGTGCCTTATCATGGATCTTGTATTCTTTGGCAGAGCACCCTGAATGTCAACAAAAATGTCAGACTGAGATAGATGAGATACTTGCAGGCAGGGAAACAGATGACCTGGAATGGTATAAAAATTGTTCCCTTTATCGTGACATTATTTTTAATTTGTGACTTCTTACATTGTGCTGGATGGAATGTTTCTTTTAAAAAAGTTTCCATTAAAATTATCGATGAATGATTTTCATGGAATGTAGACGAATATTTCTTAAAAGCATATATTTTCTAAAAAACCTGTTCAAAATTATGACATTAATGAGGGACACGTGTAAAAGTCTGATCAGGTTCCATGCTGTTCGCTATCAGTTTCTCTACTTGTAATAGAGTTGGTAAGCGAACAGCATAAATCCTGATCAGACTGCGCGGATGCACAGGCTGGTCTGGACCCATGCTGGTCGCAAAACCATTATGTTGGTTTTGTCGTGACGCGGCTCATTTTATTGCGTTGGTATCTCCAAAATTACTTAAGGAAATGGATCCAAACAGTTATTTGAGGGCATAAATGTCATCCAAAGTCCAATAACTCTTAAGATGGATTGTGAAAATATATTAAAATATCATTATATAATTATAGGTCTGACTTGAGTCACTTAGAATATCTTACTATGTGTATAAAAGAAGGAATGCGCCTACATGCTCCGGTCCCGGGTATAACACGAGACACCACTCAAGACTTTGATCTAGGCGACAGAGTTGCTCCTAAAGGAACACAAGTCATTGTTAATATTTGGGTATTAAACCACATGGAAAATATTTGGGGCCCTGATCACATGAAGTTTAAACCAGACCGGTTTTCGAAGGAAAATATTGATCAAATTGAACACTTCCAGTATGTTCCATTCTCTGCAGGACCAAGGTGGGTTTTATATACGTAAATAGAAGGGGAAAAACGGAATGCCTAAAGAATATATTGAAATTTATTTACATATAAACATGTGTGGATGTTAAAGGTATAGCTTATAAAACTTATACCTACGATGAAGAAAGTAAAACTGTTATATTGCCAACGTCATAGGAACATTTTTGTATTTTTATATTTTTGTAAGAAAACACTATTTATTAAGTAATAAGCATCTGATTAAAATGTTTAAAATGTTTTTGATGGAATTTTGAGTACAAGCCTAATTTGTCCCTGCTTTAAAATTCAGAAAATGATGATTTTTTTAAGTTCCGAATTCCTATGCACTAGCATAACTGTAAAATGTATTCTCACATTTACTATATATTATATTTTTTATTCAAGATTAAGGATCAGGGGTCTCTGTGGGCGGTCGTTTAAGTTTGCTGAACTTGAATCCTTGTACGATAAATTCTTACTGGGTACTTTTGGATTCTTTAAAATGAGGAAGCTTTCCAGCTGATATTGAACATTCGGTGGTTTTTATTCGGGTACCCCCTCGTGGTGTCTGAAATATTGATGTCTGCAGTAAAAAAAGCTTGCATAATCAGAATATGAACTTTATATTGTTCTTGTGACTATACTTAGTAAGAAAGAAGGAAATAGTTTGTTATATTTACTTTTTTGAACAAAGCTTTGCCTTTTGACTGTCTTTTTTAGAAACTGTATCGGACAAATATTTGCTATGAATGAAGAAAAAGTAGTCCTTACAAAGCTTCTTAGAAAGTAAGTTAATTTCCTTAATATGTCGTTTAAATGGGAAACAGTATCAAATATTTGCTTCATTACACGTAGGTAAAAGTAAAAGTACAAGTACTTGCTCGAGATTTTTTTTTCATTTTAATATTTATACTAAATATTCTTGAAAGAAGAGAACATTCAAGAACAATAATAGTTGAACCTTGCAATGTTTTGAGTGCAACATCTCTCACACCTATTGAATGACTTTGTTCTGTTCATTGAACGCCGCCCTTCCTTGTTGATCTTTTGTTGTTGTTGTTGGTTTTTTTCCATATTTTAAGCGGTACCCAATTCTCAACAATGAAAATATTCGTTGATATGATCCCGAAAGACAGGGAAAATATAACAACACTGTTAAGTACGCGGCAATTGTTTTACAGTTGTAACACGACACATTTCTGCTGTTGTTAAGACTACTGGGTCTATTTTTTAAACAAATACGAGGTATGTTCAAAAAGTTCGTGGATTTTTGCTGTCATTTTTTACTTGGTTCATGAAAACACCCTTAGTGGATATGAATCGAAAGAGTGTCTTTATTTTCAAAAGTAAGATTTTCTTTTATTTTTAACTTTTATTTCCTTTACGAGTTATGTGCACTTTAATAACCATGGCAACGCAACATCGGCGCACGCCGAAATTTTCATATAATGTTTAAATATAAACACATGTTGAAACAAATTAAATGATTGTTTTATGAAGTTAAATACAAGTAATCATCTATTAATATTTAAATGACATAAAGCTGACTTTTGGCGTCGTTTAGACGTTGAATAGCTGAACAAACAAGTTTTGAGCAGCAGTAGACAGACGGGTAAGTTGGGAAGTATAAACTCCGTTTAAAAACTAGAAATTCGCTCTTTCGGAAATTTTTACCAATAAATGTGGTATACACCTTTATATTTTTATAAGGTGATTACATTAACGAAAAACAATGAGTTGTCGAGCAAGTCTCTTGGTTTCAGGTCGTGCAAGCGATTCAAATACGGCAAATACATGCTCACAGACAGAAAGGGCGACGAACAGTTTAGCGGCAAATTGTTGGGACGTTTGTAACGTCAATTGCAAAAGATCTACAGAAGTTCAGGCATTATTACAGTTACAGAGATGTCCGACATGTTTAATTTCTGCATCGGGTCTATGCATTCAAGTCTGACAAAACAATTTCATTTAATTAAAATAATATTTTATTTCATTCATCAGGATATATGCGTATTTACAATAAATAATTGTAGTTATTATTTGTATTACGTGTATTTACCCTGGTCCGTTTGACAATTAATGCTAGCCGGTGTTCAGTAGATTTACCGCATAGAATAATTGTCAGTTGATAAAATATTTTCTTAACATCGATAATCATATTGTTTAAAGATCGGACGAGGGCGGTTTCAAATTGAAACTATCAATCAACAATTGAATTAACTTAATAACACTGTCCGTTTAGTGTCTAAATTACTCAAAAATCCTGATAAAAAGCGGAAAGTATGCGGCACTCGGACCTTTATACGGAGAATGGAGCGAATAGATGACCAGTTTATATCTCGGGTCATCATCGCAAACAGAAAATGGTTTTGGTATATGATCCGCAGATATTGAACACTAAAAAGAGTACTTTCAGAAGCAATGACGCTGGTAAAATGTTTCATTTATATTGCGACGTCACGAACGTCATTTTGTTTCATCATCAGCGTGCGCCGGATTGTGCACCCCTTGTGATTTGTAACTGTCACAGAATTTTTATTTGTAAACATATTGTATTGATTTTTTCACTGTGTATTAAGGACATATTTTAATATATGTCTCTTGTAAAATCATATACGCAAATTAAAATATGTGAACAGTAGAGCCGCAGTCCACGAACTTTTTGAACAGCCCTCGTATGTGTAATATAAAGTGATGATATTGAAATGTTTTGAAATTTTACATTTCAGTTTTACATTTCGTCTTGACCCATCACATACAGTAAAACGTAAAATGTCGGCTGTCATGAGAACACAAAATGGAATGTACATGTTTGTTGAAAACCGAAGACCAACAATTCATTGAAATTTAGACAACGTCTTGTTTTGTATCAAGGAGATATATGAAAGTTAACATTAATTTAGACTTAAAGCATTTCTGACCTGAAATCTACGGCATACAAATAATGTAGTGTATAATGATGATAATAAGGGTGATAATAATATAATATATTTAGAATATGCAAAACTTATTAATTTTTTGTTCATTTTAATAGCACTTTGTTATTTATACAACAAAATTATACATGTTTATGAATATCAAGAAAGCGTTAATTATATAATATATTTAACAGAGTAAACAAAATAATAAGTATTTACATGAGTGGTAATACAGTTGGTGTTTACAAGTGGAATGAAAATAAATTAAATTTTATGCAAAACAACAATTTTTCATTATTTCAAGCTTTTACAGATTTGTTTACGTTTAGAGGTCATCGCTATTGACGTCATATGACGCTGACAATGGAACAGAATAAGTTTATTTTCCAATTATGGGCCTTTTCAGGCATTACAATCATATTATATAACAAGCATGTATGAATAACATAAATAATATTCAAAAGATACCCGAGCTTTGATTCTTATAATACAACGTGAACAACAAAAGATACTTATTTTAGGAACTATTTAGAACGTCAAATACTGATTTAAGAATATAACATGCTCATAATTCTAAGAAATTCACGAATAGCATGTTATGGAAATAACGAACACATTCAATTAGCTCTCTCCAATGTGTATTACAGACAGTCTCTACTATTTCTTTTCACATGAATAGTATTTTGATATTTATCAGAGAGAATTGGTAAATGGTCACAATTTTCATTTAATGTCTCACAAAATACACCAGTTCTCGCATTGGTGTCTCCACAAATAAGTATTTCACCTTTTAAGCTAAACTGGTTGATCTCCCTTTCCGAACGAAACGATGAGATCTTTTATATCATGACAAATACAAACAAAGCACGGCATTTACTAATGTAACATGTTTAACATGGTGGTATCATAAATACAAATAAGTCACAGAAGAATCAAAACACGTCAACTACAATTGAATGACTTTCGTCCAAATACTGCTTTCAGTATATCAATTGTCTTGGATATTTGGTGAACGCTTGTGAAATACATTAATTGATAGAATAGAAGAAACTGAAATACTGTAACGTATTTATCAATAGGCACAATAGGTAAAATATACTTTTAAAAGTGAAGAATTTTCTTAAGAACTTAGGAAACATGTCTACAAGCACCTTAACAACTGTTTTGTATGTACCAATATTATGAAGTGATTAAAAATGATCTGACATTAATCACATTTATAAAAATATATTGACAAATGTTGAACTATAATAAAGGATTGTAATCCCTGAGAAACCCACTTATAGCTGCAATTAAAGACTTGTACACTTTCAAGCTTACATCTTGTTATAATAGTATATGTTTTCTCACTTAAAAATGCTTATCTTTTCTGCATTAATTACAATTGATGTTTGAATTTCCCCTTACTACTACATTTAAAGATGTAAACATATTCTTTACTACCCTGTTATATTGCAGTAATAAAATTCAAATAATCGCGAATATAAATTTCTGACCCTGCCATCGCGAATTCATGAATACGCAAAATAATCCGGGGATGAGGTTTTCGCGAAATAAAGATCACGCAAATATAAAGTGATTTACAGTATATGAAACAATTTTCACTGTTATAAAGGAAACAAACAAAAAAAGCGTTTCCCGAGAGTCATGCCATTCTTGAAATGATTGAACTTTCCCTTATGTTCAATTATGCTGCTTAACCTAAGTAATTTACATCGAAATTCAAGATGACTGAATGTTGCTAAAAAGAAATAACAAAATATAATATACTATTTCTTATATTAAATGCAAAATGTTTTATTTTTCTAAAAATGAACATGTCCTTTGCACGGATTTGACCTAAGTGGCCCCATTGTTTCTCGCCTCCTTCGGCTATGGATTATCATTCTTCCAATGTCACTTTCAACAATACGTGTTACAGTTGATTATATTTATGCTAAAGATCTTGTGGCAGATGCAGTAAAGAAAGGAGCTCTTGTAGGCTTTAGTTCCATAATTGCTGGTCCAAGTGTGGCAAGAGAACGGTTCTTATATATATTCAATGGTCCCAGTCACTGCGCTTAGCATCTATATTGTTTTTGGATGTATTCTGATTGTGTTTCCTAGAGATCTTGAAAAGTTTCTAAATGGAGGTTTTCAGGAAACGCGGGGAATGGAACTGTTTTTGTGTAAAGTACCACTAATGTTAAAGGAAAAGTGGTCAGGGTTATCTATCCAACAAACACAAGGCTATCAAAAATACACAAACTTTTTCTCGCTCAGATATTTATGCTGCAAAACACATGTTAACTTCTCAAAGTATTATGAGCATGTCATCTAAATAATTCGACAAGTTAACATGCGGTTTGCACATGGCATCATGATACTTCGACAAGTTAACATGTTGCCTGCACAAGTCATCATGATACTTTGACAAGTTAACATGTTGTCTGCACATGTCATCAGGATTGTTTGACAAGTTAGCATGCTGTTTTTGAACAAGTCAGCATGGTATTTTGACAAGATATGATGTAAATTACACATGTTAACATGCTTAAACGACAAAATAGTATAATTTCACAAGATAGCAAAAACATTGATCACATGAGACAGTCACGGCGTTCCATATATATGAATAATATGATATAATATTGAATTATCACCATTTTTAATTCGCAAAAGAATTTGTTAATAAACTGACTGTTCATTTTTGATGAATTATGTTTAAAGTCCAATGCGTTTAGATAAGTCATGTACTAGTATATGAATTACTGACTACTAATAGAACATTGTGCTGGATGACTGCTTGCTACAGACTAAAAAAGTGGTTACAATTTTCCGTTTTAAAAATTATAGACAAATCTAATATTTAAGTATGATTCGGAACACCTCGCCGACTACAAATAATCATCTCGGAAACAATACGGAAGCACGTGTTTTGGATGACAATGAGTAACAAATGTAGACTCAACAAATCCCAACATTGACCGTTATCCGGAGTATTAGTAATTAGTATGACTAATAGGGACGAAAAATTTTCGTCTGTGAAACAGAATCACTCTAGGAAAACTTTTTGTCATTTTTCTGTTAACATGTACATTTGTATACTATATACATTTAACTGGGGATGTCTATATTCGTAATAAGGATCACTTTTTCTATTGATGTGCTTGATTGTATATACATAATACTTGTACTTGAATTTATTAAACTCCTTAAATATTCGAGGCAATAAAAGTACATATATGTAGTTTACACTTTGCTTTATAAAGTTGACATGGATGTAGATGAGACTGTATTTCCCAAAAATAAAGTGTATACAGATATACAATAATTAATCTAAACTGTCCTATGACATCATTCCCACTTTTATAAAAAATGTCGTTAGCACATTATCATGTCATGTCATGAGTAACAAAATCAAAGTGCTGCAGCACTGAATGCGACGGACATGCAACCGGAGAGACATTAAGGCTTCTTTTAGAAAAAAAAAACAAAACAAAAACAAAACACAAAATATATAACAGAGAAAATTTGTTTCATACAAGTTCGAGATTTGTAGAGCAATATATTTTGTGTCCCAAACTGATATAATTCAGATTTTCTACTTTCAAGCACTTAAATACAGAATGAAATTTATGCTTAAAAACTCTGGTCAAACTTGTAAATCAGTATCCTTATCGATTTATTCTAAGAAATGATATGTAAATAGAAAAAAAACTGTCAACGAAATATTTTTTAGAATAAATCCAGGCAAATAAACTTCAAACATAATACATTATACATTTGAGAATTCTATTTAGAATTGATTCGTGTTATATCATAGTGGGCATATAGACAATAAAATATAAGTCATTTGTATTTTCATTTCTCTTGGATATGTCTCATTAAAAAAAATTTGGTTAAAATCATCAGCAATTAAAAGTGTGTTTCTTAGATTTTTTTTATTTACAAGGTAAAGATGTAGGCCAGAGCACATCGTTTTTATTTTAATTTAAATGTCACTTAAGCACTACAGTGTTTAGTTGTCCTTTTCAATTTCACACTAAATTCCATTTTCAACTTGTTTGCTTCTTACAATTGTATAGAATTTCTAAAAGTATTGCATCTAATCCGCTGGTTTATTAATTACATGTCCAAAAATCAGAACAGGTGAAGCAGAATCTATTTTTAGAATAGCGAAGGCTAACTCATATCATGACCTAGAAAAATATGTAAACAAACCACAAGAATCGGAAGTAGAACTGATATTATAACTTCCTTACCATGAAAGACTACATGGCGGTAAAGTGTTGTAAAACTCTCTAATCTTACATGCATTTTCAAAAATAGATATTTATACTTACCATTGTAATGTATCTAATATATTAATTAATAACTGCTGAATATTCAGCTAAACCCGCGGTATGAGTCACGAAAATAGTTCTTCTTTTATTAATGCGCGAGTTATCCTAGAGTCACGAAAAACTTTTGATTTGTTAATAATAATGTTTTGTATAATGTAGAAATATTTATTTCCTACTAATAATGTCTTGGAACTCAGAGGTTACACCTTTATTGTAGTATAATTTGCTGTCCTACTTTTTCGGCAGCGGTAAATCGTTTCAGCAGTAATTTGCATATTGCGCAATAATACTACGGGACTACAACGTTTTTATCAATAATATACGTTCATATTTTAACTTGGATAACTTAATTTGAAATTGAAAAGGCTAAATATGGAAGACATTAAGATATCCAGTCAAAGTATGGGAGTTTTGAAGGATCAAATTCATGTACTATTTCTTGGGCTGTTAATTGGTTTAGGACACATTGCGCGATTGTAGCCAACGAAATCCCATGTGTAGATGACTTAGCTCTGAACGCGCCTGAGGGCGCGTCCGTCGCAAATACAAAACAAAAACAAAACAACAAAAAACAACAACATGTATCTGTACTCAATATTTTGAATCAATTTATCGGCAAATTTCGTTATCAATACGTTTCTTTAGAAGGCATTCAATGTTACTTTCCCTTGATTCTGTTATAGAGAGATAAATGGTAGGCCAGGATTTTTTGCGAAATTAAATTCGTTCAACTTCTATTAAAAATTGTTAATAGCACATTTACAAAATTATTGAACACACAATTTTTTCCATGAAAAAGTAAGAATTTATTCATATGGTTAGGTAAAACAGGGATACAACTTATTACAACAAATATCCCTGGTAAAATAGACATTATGAAAGTTGGATTACTCCATTTGATTTTCCATTTTTTAAAAACAATGTATAATATTTTATCAAAATGATGATAAAATTTACAAAATAGATATTTACGTACATTGTTTTTAATCTTTGACTTAATAAATAAAGAAGTGATCCACAAGGCAACGCTGCATGTCAGTTTGTCAAATACCTAAGCTCTAGGCATTGTAGTTCCACACAAAAAAAAGTTAATGTATTTTCTTATATAAGCCTATGTGAACTAAGTGACGCACGAATTTTGCCGGAGCGGGAAAATTATGACACTTTCCGCCGTACTTCGGTAAAAAAAACTTGCACGACTCTGACCTTCTCATTGTTGAAATAACAATAGATTTTGTTAATAAATATGTTGTGTTGAAATTCTTACTGATATCCACTCATCTGATAATCGACCCGGACAGATCAAGGTCATGTAGTGATATGTGCACGAGAAACACGTTGTAATAAGTTACAATTAAAAGATCGCAACGAAAATACAGTAATCACGGAATGAATGATTTAATAATAAAAATTAGCATGTGATATATTGAATCAAGTGTATTTGTAATAAATCCCTTTGTATGAATATGTATATTATTATTATTAATTAATTTATAATTAATTATAATTGCGTCGCTACTTCAACAGTCGTACTGTTGTGATGCAACATTGTACTGCCGAAGGCGAGCTCGTGCTAGTGTTCTGAAAATAATGGCGCATGCAAAAGTAGGTTAACTGTCGATCCCATTATTATATTTTTACAGATATTCCACAAAAATAAATGCTACTTAATAAAAAATTGCATTAATCCACCTGCGGAATACAATATCATTTTCGTAAAATGTACAATTTACAAGGTCGTCATAATATTAAATTAATCAAAGGGCTGCAACCTCTGTGGTATTTTCTGATCTTTGCAAGCTAAATCATACTGACTATCTGTATGTATTTTCCTGTATAAGTTTATTTTTATTTACTATAATTAATCTTACGCAGCGATTGCGTCTATAACAGTTTGAGATTGATACATATGGAATTTTCCATGACGAGTTGCATCAAAAACTCATTTTTCATTTTTTATGACAGCAACACTTTATCCTTGCATATCGTGGCTACTTCCTTAAAAAAAGACACTTCAGAAAGAAAAAAGTTGCTTCGACTAGGATTTGAACCTTAGGCCTCTCACACCCTAAACGAACGCGCTACCTCTGCACCACGGTGAAGTAATACATATGTAGCTTGAATAAAAACAAATACAATTTGAAAATTTCCATTTCGTGTTTGTAATTTTTACTAATTTCGAGATATTTTGTTCACGAACACTGATGAAAATAATTTAGCGAAAATCTTCTCGACAAAACAGTACGACATGTATATATTCCACTACTCGACAGTCAGATTTATTTGTGTAGTACGCTCTGGAGTATTCGGTAATCGACATAGCTAAAAATAGCATTTTCATTGATTAAGCTTTACGGAAATAGCCGAACATTTTTCATTGGGTAAAAAAGATATTCATCCGCTAAATTTGTGATTGTAACCTCATATTTCTATTGACTTCTCTAAACTTTTAATGCACTGTAATTCGTTAAATGCCTACATTAAAAATTATTCTTTTTTTTAATTGCTGGTTTTTAAGCAGTTCTGAGTGAGAACTACTTCGCGTTGTTAGGTCTGTAAGGAAATTTTGTGTTAGACCGTGGATGTTAGCTATGTATTTACTGATCTTGCGATCAGAAAATACAAAAACCATGCGCCATTTTTTGTAAATGC